TGTGTGTGGCGTGTTCGTGTGTGTGTGGCGTGTGTGTGTGATTGTGTCTATTGTAGGTAGCGCACCGTGGTTCATGAGGATGTTCTGGTTCATTGGATTCCTCTCAGTTTCATCTTTCGGGATGTGACAAAACCTGAAAAACATGAACGTATATGTTGGCGATAGATATTGAAATTATCAAACAAATTTATACATTGTAAGACAAATGTGATGAAGAGTTTGATTTTGTGTTTTTTTTAATTTGTCGGTTTAATAGTTCAAAGTAATGAACATCGCAACTTATACCCAGTGTAGGTGTCTAGAACACCTCCCATCGACTTCACCTGATCGTCGTTCAACTTGGCTTTTGAGTATCTGGACAGGTATCAATCAATCAATCAATCAACAATAAATCAATCAATCAATCAATCAACCAATCAATCAATCAATCAATCAATCAATCAATCAATCAATCAATCAATCAATCAATCAATCAATCAATCAATCAATCAATCAATCAATCAATCAATCAATCAATCAATCAATCAATCAATCAATCAATCAATCAATCAATCAATCAATCAATCAATCAATCAATCAGTCAGTCAGTCAGTCAATCAGTCAATCAATCAATCAACCAATCAATCAACTCTTTAGTCAATCTTGTAAACAATCGATCGATCGATAAACCCGCTAAGCAGCTAAACAAACATGCAGGAAACGAACATTTTCCAGCAAATGCCAACCAGTCCAACCTTCTCAATATGGGCATCGTCCTCGCTACCTCTCTGTGCACGTGGCACGAGTCAGTCGTTATCAGAACCTGCAATCAAGTTCAAAAGGGAATGATTGTTGATATTTAAGAAGCCAGCAGGCATGTAAACATTCATAATTTTTACCCAAACACACACATACTCACATGAAAATAAATATACACACGCACATACATGGACGAATGTGTTACAAACTGAAGGTAAAAATGCAACAAAAATGACCAACCATTGCCCTTATAGCCAGTTTGAATAATTTCGTTTTTGCAGAATAGAATTTGTTGAGAAGACACAAAGACTTGTTGATCATTTTGTCATATTTATAGTTGGAAAGGTCCTAGAAATTGAAATAAATTATTAAAAATCTTAAATTTATAACCTGTTACATAAACATAGTTGTTAAACGTACGTACATACCATGTGATTAGTTTAGTCACAATGCATTAATCACCTCATCAAATTTTCATTATCATCAAATCATCATTCTACTTCGTCATCAGCAATTTTTAAATATTATTCACCATTCCTATTGATAGTAATGCTTAATATTTTTACTTATTAAAGCCAATACATCTTTAACAATTATATCAGCAGCTAGAAATGATAAATACAAAATGATAAATTTGATTTTTTCACTAGAGGTTCGGTGCATTTCTACATGCATTGCTAGCATAACAACATTATCAAAGTATTGACGACTCGTTTTATTGATGGCCTTACTGGCGAAACATACTACGGTTGGTAAAGAAAAGAATTTTGAAAAATTAAATTTGCTGGAACTAAGACCAACTGACCATAAGAATTGAAGTGATCTGCTCTGAATCGAAGTAGGCTGTTGACTCGAACATTGATTTCAAATCTTTCACCGCTTTCTTCTGTAGTGATAACCCTTTTCTGAAACGATAAAAATGATGTTGATGGTAGTGGTAGGGGTGAGAAAGCAGAAAATTATGATAATGAGTGTGATAATTAAAATGGTTAAAAATTTGAAAGGATAACAACGGTACACGAAGACTGGTTCATTTCCTAACAGCACCAAATACTTTCTAACTTGGATTGATCAAAGGCATCAAAATCCTCAGACAGGAGAGGGCAAAGAATGCTGTGCACTCCTCTTGACTTGCTGGCGGCAAGGTCAGACGTCTTGAACTTTGCTATAAAACTCTCTAGGCGGGAGTTGAACTGAAAGGTCAGAAGAAGGTCAAGTACTTCCATAGCTCTGGTGTTGAAAGTTGTGAAAAAATAAATGCGGTGACTTAATGACGTCACTATTATTTTATTTTTTATCTAAAATAAATAATCATTTTTTCACAAAACTAATTCAAAGTTTGCTCTTGTTCGAGAAACATTTTTACGTTGAAATTTGTAAAGTTATTGAGAATTTTGGAAGAATTACTGACTGATACTTGGCGTCAACAAGAGCTGCACATTCCTTGCTTGGTTCGAAGCGATCCTTCGTTCGATAGAGTTGAACTATCTTTTGAGATTCTTTTGAAAACCCTGCATTTGAATATTGAGAAGTTTTCAAATCAATATATTTAATGATAAAATAAAGAAACGGTTTGAAAGTGTTTACAATTTTCGAGTTGGTATGCTCAATGTGACAAAAATGCTTGTGAATGGATGATAACACAGTTTGATTTATTTTGTTTCATACTTATAAGCTTCGCACGATGCAGCATTCTTATTAGTTCTTTTGTATAAATATAGTTTGAATATGCAATTAACTATTGGTGATTTTGGTTTCTCTCGATTTATAAATTGGTTTTTTGCGGCTATTTTTAAGATCGTGAATTTGATACGAATGTGATGGCGCCTTTGAGATATCGATATAATTGGCGCTTTATAAATGTTTTGGTAATAATAATAATGATAATAATAATAATAATTGAGACATCAAACGAAGTCCATCAACCTTTCTCGGTGTCGGGAGGGAATGGTTTGTCGTGTTTGCAGTCGAGAATGATGAGCAGTGGCTTCAGTAGCTTCCGGATGTCGTCGCTCCCGTAGTAACCAAACTTCACCAGAAAATGAAACAACCTCAGTACCTGGTTCATTAAATCAACATTTTAATCATGCTGCAATGTTTTGATGAATAATTTTATAAACTTAACTCTAAAGTACCACATACAAATCTGCAGAACTTTCCAATCAAACAAAATCCAATATGGTAAAAAAAATATTTAATTTGAATATTTTTAATCAGGGGACAAGATGACGTTGATTTAACTTGTTCGATGAGCATGTTGTGTCCAGTCTGAGATGCAATCATCTCCTTGATGTCCAGCAGAAACTCGGCTATCCAATCCCTTATCACGGGAAACAACGTCACCAAATCTTTTATTATCTGCAGAATTAAATTACAAAAAATAATGGCCTAGATTAATTTGAATCTTTGCATTAAACAGACCTGTTTTGTGACGGGTCATATTCACGTCATTCACATCGTACGTGTAATTTTGAGAAATATTTTAATAAAATATTTATTAGATCTTCAAATGAAAAATCAACCTACCCCTTCAGGTGCCAACCAGTTTTCAATAGCAGGGATCGATTTTTTGACCTTTCAGTTTTGTTAATCGTGTTCAATAATTGCAATCGAGTGCAAACATTAATTTGAACAAACATGATTTTAAAATTTAAGAAATTATATAGTAAAATTTGTAAAAATATGTGAGCACAAAAAAAATAAAAAAACATAGAAACAAAAAACTCACGAATTCTCCATCAGCGTTGGGTCCTGGAGAGAGGATGTCCTCATATATGAAGGAGAGGTTCGTATGGTCCAACACTGAATAATTCGTACCCACGTCAATGTAAAGACCTGGAGTATGTGTGAGTGTGTTTGTGTGTGCGTGTGTGTGTGTGTGTGTTTGTGTGTGCGTGTGTGAGTGTGTTTGGTTGATTTATTTTATGTGTAACAATGATGCAATGATTATAACTGTAACAAAATATCAATGAGTGTGGAATATAATTTGATGATTTGATTATTGTGTTATTTTTTGGGTTATTTACTATGTTATTTCTTGTTTTATGGGAGTCAACCCTAGATAAGCATTTATTGCTAAGCTGACACTTTCACTTTTTTTTGTGAATAAATGGAATTAATTAAAAAAAAAATTTCAACGAATAAATGAATAGATAAATGATAGACGTTCCATCATTACATTAGATGGCAAACAAACCAATGATGAGTTCGCAGTACTTGGCCCGCAGACTCTCCGGCAGAAGTGTGGACCTGAGGGAAAGGAAGGCCTCGTCCCAAGTCAGAATTCCCAACTCTCTCGTTATCACGAAGATCGAGAAATCGTTCCGACCCTAACGACGACGATGATGACGACGATAATAATAGTGAAAGTGATATTATTTACTAATAATGTTAATAATAAAATAATAATTAATAAGTGAAAACTTCTGGTCTTCTAGTAATTTATCATTGTGATATTTTGCTGAATAAAAGATTGTTTCAATTCAATTCAATGTGACATTTAAAGGTGAAAAACTTCACTAACGTAACTCAGATTTCCGTAGAGATCTAGTTGGTGTTCGAAGAATATGACATCTTCTTCGTTGTACGTACTTAGGTCTTTCTGCTCAGTCAAGTGTCAATAATAAAGAAGTATACAATAATAATTTAAATACATTTAATACATTAAATACAATTAAATACACAAAAATCTAAAAAAAATAAAAGTTAAGTAAAATACATTCAGTAAGTTAGTTATAATACGTTAATAGCTTCGTTAAAGATGATAGGCTGGTCACTAGGTAACAGAAAACTTATCAAGTGATAACTAGTCTAATTAAACTGACGTTAACAAATTGGTGCAGAGGCGTCCAACTGACGCCATTGTTGGCCGAAACGTATATGATGTTAGGTTGGCCATTCACGTTCTGACCTCGTTCCGTCAGATACCTCATGCCGACCTTATTTCAGATGGTCAAAACAATGTAATCAAGGAGACCTTCGTTATAACACTCTACTTATAAATTACAATGTATTGTGTAGATTTGGTAAGTTGTGTATTTCTACATGTGCAAATCTGAATTGGTAAATTGTCGTTTGTAAAATTCATTAATTACCATCACAGTTTGTTGTCATAGTCATCATTAATATAACAAGCCTTGTCACAATCGTCATCATTAATTAATATCATCATTATCATTATTCTTAAAGTGATCGTCATCATCATTCTTATCATCGTTAGAAGCCTTCAAATTATCATTACCATCATTTTTATTACCATCCTCTCACTCTGTCACCTTATCTCTCCTGAGCCAGTGCTCCGTGATATATGTCTGGTTGTTTGTGATAGCCACACCGTTACACACACATAACACGTTCAGCAGGTCCAGATATCGGTAGTTCTGTAAGGTGTGTGTGTGTGTGTGTGTGTGTGTGCGTGCGTGTGTGTGTTTGTGTGTGTGTGCGTGCGTGTGTGTGTGTGTGTTTGTGTGTGCGTGCGTGTGTGTGTGTGTTTGTGCGTGCGTGTGTGTGTTTGTGTGTGCGCGCGTGCGTGCGTGTGTGTGTGTGTTTGTGTGTGCGTGCGTGCGTGCGTGTGTGTGTGTGTTTGTGTGTGCGCGCGTGCGTGCGTGTGTGTGTGTTTGTGTGTGCGTGCGTGCGTGCGTGTGTGTGTGTGTTTCGTTTGTACGTAATCACTCTGTCACTGATGAAGTTATGCAGTGTGATGATGATAAAGATTAAGATGATGACAAAGTTAATGATGATAATGATGATGAGGATGAATGTTATTAATGACAATAATAATGAAATGGTATATTCCTTAACATTAATATCATCATTAACATAATTACATCGCAAACAACACCATGGTTAAAAACAGCAACAAAAGGCATCACATAAAACTAACAACAGCAACAAATAACAACACATCAAACTAGCAACAACAACAACAAATAACAACACATCAAACTAGCGGCAACAACAAATAACAACACATCTAACAGCAGCAACAACAACAAAAATTAACAACACATCAAACTAGTAGCAACAACAACAACAAACAACAACACATTAATCTAGCAACAACAACAAATAACAACACATTAAACAAGCAACAACAAATTTCAACACATTAAGCTAGCAACAACAACAAATAACCTTAAATCAAACTAGCAACAACACCAACAACAACACCAACTTTATTAATCTTCAAGAGTCCAACAAACAGCTCGATCTGTTCTTGACTGATCCTATCAACAATCTTTCTGTTATCCCTTATCAACTCTGCAATCATCTTCGCCACATTCAGCCCTATATCACCCTGTTCAAACGTTTGTTGTGTGTGTGTGTGTATGTGTGCATGTGCGTGTGCGTGTGTGTGCGTGTGTGTGTGTGTGTGTGTGTGTGTGCGCGCGCGAGAATATTTTGTGTATAAACTACTTACGACTTTAACGGTGATCTGCGTTTGAAAGAAGTCAATGTATTTGGCGAAGTAGAGGGCGTTCTTGCGACTGTTGCCTGTTTAAAATGGGACGATGATGATAATGACGATGATAATGATGAGATGATGATGATGATAAGATGACGATGATGATAGTTGGTACTGATGATGATGATGACAGTAATAAAAATAATAACATAATGGAATTAGCAATTATAGTTATTTAAAATTTCAACAGTTCAAAATTATGCATTAATAAAAAAATAAAGTCGATTTCTTCATCATCATCGTCGTCATCATCATTCAGGTCATCCTCATCGTTTTCACCATCGGCAGACACCGACCAATCATGTAGGTGTAGAGGACGTCGTAGGCACCCTTGAATATCTTGGTCAGGTGCGTTTGGTCCTGGGCCCCTTGGAGTGGAAACTGCAGGGCTCGTACCAACAGGTCTATCAGCTGAGTTTTCAGAAATGTGACGTCATTGTGCGATGTCATTTTATGTTGTGATGGTAGGGATGTGACGTCATTGTGTGATGTCATTTGACGTGCTGGTTGGGATGTAATGTGATAAGATGTGACGTTAATGTAAATGTGACTAAAATACCGTACGCAAAATAAGATGATGGCAATTTTGCGGTAAAAATGAGCACATACCCTCAAGTTCCTCATCAACTTTTGTCTCTTCTTCATTGCCACCCCGTTTACGATCATGAAGTTTTTCAACTCTTCCAACGCCTGTGAACAGTTTTTATTGCAAATGTTACCATACCCACTTGATAACAATGAAGTTTATTTCTCAAAACCAGCTGCGTTTAAATCATGTTATAATTTTTCATATCTCTTTGGTAACCTGAGTTATCTTGAATGTTTTTTTGGCGTTCAATATCTTGCCCTGGTTTCTCTGCAAATTAACATCGGCAAAAATTACAGGAACAATATGGTTAGAAGCAAAAATTTGGAAATAAATTAAAACTTGAAATTATAGAAAACAATTTAAATGTCAAAATGTAACGACAGCCGATTAGATTTTCACACATACACACACACACACATCCCACACACACACACACACATCCCACACACACACACACAACTCACATCTAGGATATGGTTGAGTAGGAAAGGAACCATGCCAGCGGCATAATTGAATGCCGACAGGTTGGCTGGCTCGACAACTTGCAGGGTGTAAGCATCGTGGTAGACCTTCTCACCACTAGCAGATATCTATCATGGTTAAATGGTAACATGGTTATTTTGTTGAATGTATTTTATTAAAAAGTATTAATACCTCACACGGTGTATACGTATGTACGTGAATTAATGCATATCACACACCATTCGTTGTACATGATACATTCAAACTCGGCCACTGCAGTGTATGATCAGGCTCATTTAACAGTAATATTAAAACAGTGGATGTTATCAATATATAGCTACTACTGTTTCTGATATAATTTTTTCCACTAATACTGTTGCTAATATTGTAAATGTTATAATATTATTGAGAACGTTAAAGAGAAGATGTTTAAAAATGATGGTTTCTGGTCGATTTTGATGTTAGTGATGATGACGATGTAGATGCCGTAATTGTGGTGGTGGCGGTAGTGACGATTTTGATGACGTCACTCAAATGAAACATTCCGGAAATACCAGTCCAACCTTCCTGAGGGAGGCAGCATCCCATCTCAAACTCTTCAGGGATTCTCCGCTTTCATTTTCCGTTTGCCTCAACTGCCTTCTCACATATTCTTCATCTTCAAGATTTTCAATTGAATAAATTATTTTATTAATTTTTTTTTAAATCGAAAACAATTAATTTCATGCAGAGTAGAAAGTTACTTACAAAAGTTTATAGAACTGCTTAAACATTTCAGAAAAATAAAACTCTATAGTATTAACTAGAACACTTATTTATTAATTCGATCATTTGTGTTTAATTTATTAAGTAATTAACTGTTTAAAATAATAATAATAATAATAATAATAATAATTGAACCCCTCATGGCGTGCAACCAGTAGCCAGTGATGACGTGTTCAATTCGCGCGTAGCTGTCGAAAATTATCTCATCCACTTCCTGGCGGTTTCCATGGATTTGAAAAAGATGAAAAATAAGTCAATTTCTACTACATAATTAATCAGATTTTTATTTATTTAAAAATTGTTTTAAATTGCTGTGAGGTGCAAACGTTAATAAATCAAATTCATCAGCCATTCATCCACTTCTCCATATACCAATCGGTCGAAATGTAACAGACATTTTATCAAATCCTCCAAAAAATTTTTTTTACCGTCTTACCTTAGCCTGCATTGTAAGCAAAATTATAAAAAAAAGTTTGAAAGTAAATTTGATAAACTTTATTAATGCTTTAAAAGTATTATTGTTTAAAATTTAACTAAAATTTAAGTAACCAGACACAAGTTAAATTTTAATAAATCAGTTTGTCGTTTTTATTTTAGTTCCAAATTGCTGAAAGAAATCAAAATCTCCAATAAATCATAACAACCTTAATGACGGGATGAACCCTGAAAACAGTCCTTGGGTCTTTGGAATCGAATGTCAAGGTCACTCTACGGTCAGTTGTTATGCATAAATATTGCCTGGTAGTCATGTGGCGGAATCTGATTTGCTGCTCCCAACGAATGACATCACCTTATTTTTCGATTGTATGAGGCCATGAATTTATCTCATGAATATTAATTAAGTGCATTAATTCCTTTCAAAAACTTATGTAGTAATTATATTAGTTTCACTTTGAAAGAACTGGATAAGCGTTATTTCAGATATTTTATAAATGGTTGCTTTTATGATAAAAAAATTTTATAGTTAATTTAACAATTTAACACACACATAATGTATTTATTAAATTAATTTTCTAATTGGTTAATAAATTTAATTGCTCAAAAAATAACTTAAAAGAACATAAGCATATTCAACGCAGGCACACATCGTTTGTGAATACACATCCACGAACCACACACCTTGGTGTTATTCGCGAATACTCTCAAAGTCTGATTTTTTAAAAGAAAAAAAAATGGAAAAGTGAAAGTGAAAAACCGACCAACCGTTCAACAAACTGGTTTCGGTTTCGACTTGCCAAAAGGTATTCCCACTGGTTGTAGGGTAGAGTGACTTCGGCACCAGCTGATCCACTTCTCTTATTCTCAGGTGTACTGTGAAGATGGCGGTAGAGATGATGATGAAGATGATGAAGATGATGATGAAGAAGATGATAAAGATGATGAGGATAACAATAAATTTTATTATTATTATTACTACTACTATAATTATGTTGATGACGGTTACGATGATGAATTTCATTACATCTGTAATCATTGCAAATAAAGTCACGTCATTATCATCATCGTCATCATCATCATCGTCATCATCATCATCATGATTACCATCTTCAGTAATTTCATCGTCAAACAATCCTTCAGCAACGACAAACGCTTCCAGCTCCTTGTGGAATAGCCTTATGACGCTACCACCCTGTAGTGCAATTAGGAAAGCCATGTTGCTTAAGATTAATAAAAATTTATAAAAACGATGAAAAATTAAAAAAAATTAATAACTTAAATCCGGAGTTTTTTAGACCACATTTGCATTGTTAATCAGTCAGTCAGCCAATCAGCCAGCCAGTTAGTCAGTCCGTTAGTCAGTTTGTTCATCCGTCTGTCCGACTTACTCACTCAATCATTTATTTATATATTCATTTAATTACTCTTTTATTTAACCATTTATTTGTTCATTCATTTATTCATTTATGCAATCATTCATTCATTCATGCAATCATTCATTCATTCGTTCATGCAATCATGCAATCATATATTCATGCACCCTCAGATATTCCTTCTGCTCATCAGAGTGTCTGTAACATTTGACTACCGTGAAACCAGCAGGCTGAACTCCAAGGTTCAACTCCGACCTGTCCAAACATAATTTTTTTATGAATAATATTATTAATTTGTTTAATAATTATTTTTATAATAATAATATTATTATTTGCCATTTTCGATGTAGCTTTGAAATTTTTTTAAATATTTAGTATATCGTCATCTTTTTTCAAAAGCGCTTCCAGTTATGTTATTTAGGTCTATTTGTTAGTGTTGTAACGTGACACGGACAACATTTTGAACGAGCCGTATGTATGTTACGTACATATACAAGCAAGCATACTTGCCTGCAATTTTAAATTATCTCACAGTGTATGTATTGCACAATTTTCATGCGTGTATACGTGGTTAGAATGCTCTGATGTTTTAATGATAGTTTTTGTACAACAGCGAATTTTTGAAAGAATCTTACTCATGTGATAGCACCATCACACACGTGCAAATACTCAAACATGCACATTCACGCATAAATGCACATTCACATGCACACATACAAACATAAACACACACACACAGACACATACAAACACACTCATGCACGTGTGCAGTAAGTATTTAGAGAGAGCGTAGAAAGTAGAGTCATGTTATTACTATCATACAAGCTTCAGGAATGTCGTAAATCCAAGAGCGCTTTTCCATTTCCACTTTGCTTTATTTGCTTCTTCTTTTATTCTTTCTCTCTCTCTTTCTCTCTTTTTAGCTATTTTTTATCGTCATTCTTTTATTTTTTTTTCATTTTTTTATTATTCTTCTTTAATGTCTGCGTTATTTTGTTTCTCCCCATCCTATATATGGTTAGTTTAAAATTCTATAAATACGTTGGCATCTGCATACGTGTTTCGGCAACAACACTCCGAATTTGTTTGTAACTCTTGGAGTACTTTTTCCATGTTTGTATCTTTTTTCTTGCTGTTTAGTATAGTGCATAACACGCATGTTGTATGCAGTGTTGTATCTTGCGTGTTGTGCCTGTGTACGTGAAATCCACCGATGAACATACCATGGAGAGAGCGGATGACAAAAGTGTGCAGTCCCAGAGGTGCTTCTCCAAATAACATGACGTTGTTGTTGTCCCATGTTTGTGTGTCGGCTTATATGCGTCAATGTGTTTTGAGAAATATATATGTGTGTGTGTGTGTATGTGTGTGTGTGTGTCTGAATTTTCGTGTTTATTTTTGTGTTTGGCTTTTGAAATTTCATAGTTTTACGAAGTTTGTCTATGGGAGTTTTAATTTTGGACATCAACAATCAGAAATTGGAGAAGGCTACGACGACAAAAGTTAAATTTTTTGTGGCGTATTTGATGGAGCATGTAATGAAAAACGAAAAAATTTGCAAAAAATAATTTTAAAAAGCGATCGAATAATATTTTTTAAAAAAGGTAGAAAAAAAATAGACAACAAATCAACGAAAATGTTTCCAGAAACAATCATCCTCAAAATATAACCAGACAACCAACCCGACAGAAAAGTTGTCAATCTTCCATGGAGCGCTGACGTGGAAGAACTGACCGGGAGATTTGACCGACTCGAATATTATTTGGTCAAATATTTGCACCTATTGGAGGCCAATTAAACAGTAAACAGACGATCACATAACATAATCTTTATTAGTATACAGTATGCTTTCCGTTTTGCTTATATTTCAGTGCATATGTGTTAATGTGGCCACTACACTCACGTACGTATGATTGTAGATGAAAAGTTTATCTCATGCGCATGTGAAGCGTTTAAATAATGTATACTAGATAATCTTACTGATTCTCCTTCTGTCTTAACTTTGTACCTGGGCAGTATCTTGATCTGAGCGTGCTTTCCATTGTATGCCAGCAGGTGCACCTTCCAGTTGAAAATATTATTTATTTATTATTATTATTATTATTATTATTATTATTACCATTATTATAATAATAAATAATTAACAATGTTTTCATCGATGGCGGCCATGGACAGATCGACCAGAAGTACCTTCCCATCGTATTCTTCCCATCACAATAACTTCTGCTATTACATTTCATACGGTCAGATGGATAAGATTTTAGGAGTAAGAAGAAGTAAATGCTCCTTGCTCAACATTCACTTCAAGTTAATTTATAAATACATCTCCAACTATGAAACGCCAGCAACCCTTGTTGAAAACAATTATTTCACCCTGCTGGCCAACCTGAAGAGGCACTTAGGTTTCTTTATTAGGGAGCCATTTTGCATGGCAGTATGCCCCGAAGTTAACATGTGAGTAGTCGAAAATTTAATTTGTAATAATAATTAATGAAAAAATGAATAAATTAATAAAAAATTTAACAAACTCAGTAAATATGTAATGAACAAACTAATAAATAAATAAATAGATTAATTTACTAACAAGCATATTATTTTTGTCCCTTCTGCTTGTGGTTGTAGTACTAATGTGGATGAATTTATCCGTGAACATGTGCTTTAGCTGTTTGTGTGTGTTTGTGTGTGTGTGGTTGTGTTTGTGTGTTTGTTTGTGTATGTTTATTTGTGTGTACGTGCGTGCGTACGTACGTACATATGTATCTGTCAAAGTTAATGTTTTATGTGTTGTTATTTTTAGTTCTCGTTCATAACTTTATCTCGAATATAATAATAAATCCATGCAAAAACACAAACCACGCAAAAAACCTCTACCTAAATAAATTGGGAAAATCACCAGACTGGTGGAAGGTTAATGGATAAAAATTAAACAACAATGACGCAACAACAGCAGCAGCAGAAGATACAATGACGTAACACTCACACAAATAAAAAATAAAAATAACAATTGTATAGTGTTACATACAAATAACCGAAAGCACATATAAGCGATGTGGATTTACATATATTACAAAAGACATATAAAAAAGATGATGGGATGAAGTAGTCCATAATAAACTAACAACCAACGAACCAGATAATCAATCAATCAATCAATCATTCAATCATTCAATCAATCAATCAATCGCCAAACTAGAAACCATATAACAAACCAACCAGCCAATCCACTAGTCAATCAACAAACCTGTATAACTTCACCATATCTAACTCTCTTGCCATGTTGTCTTTTCTGTTCGGCCACGTTATCATCGTTCTCTGCGTCCGCTGCAAACTATAATCATCATCGTCGTTGACTTCATCATCATCATCGTCGTCGTCATCATTATCGTCATCATTTATATCATTATCATCGTTATCAGCATCTTTATAATCATTTTTGTCGTTACCATTATCTTCGTTATTATCATCCTCATCATAGGCGTTTCGTCTTATTTAAATAATATAAATAGTAAAGCATCAATGATATTTTTTATAAAAATGGCAATATAATGACATTAAAGATATAAAGGACGATGCAAAATCAACGCGAACAATGATGTCAATCTAGCCAGCCGACCTTGGCTTGAGCCTTCAACGTCTTCAACTCAAGACTCTCGACTTCGTCAGCACTCGTTTGCAGAAGTTTGCGGTACTTCTTGTTCAGTTTGTATCGATTTTGAATGCAAATCTGAAACTGAATGGCTAAAGTGTAGTGGGAAAATAACGAGTTGTTCGGGAAATAAATCATTGAATTTGATTTTAACAATGTGGTATGATGTTTTTCTACCATCTACCCTTTATTGATAATTATACACTGTCACTACATCTGGCATGTATGATTGAAAATAAATGATTTATTAAAGAATATTTGTATTTAATGACGTCATTTTGAGATAGCTACTTAGCAATCTTCGAGTTTAACTCGTCATGCCATCACTTTAAAATCAAATTTTAATAAAGTAGCGAGACGATGGTGAAATCAATCAGAAGAGAGAAGATTTTGTAATAATGACAATTAGTGATTAATAATAAAATAATATTATTTCAATTACCCAATTAATTATTCAATCAATCGGGCAGTTAATTACTCATTCAATCAGCCAATTATTCAATCGGTCCATTCATGCGTTAAGGTTAACCAAACTTCCAGATAAAAACACTCAAATAATTTTTTCCTTAACTAGAATCGAAATGTTCTTTTTTTCATTCCATTAACAACCAGTCACACTTCAAAGAACATAGCAGCCAAGGGGAATAAAATAGATCAAGAGGCATATTCAGATATCGAACCAGCGATTGTAACCATTGTAAGTGTGTTTATGTTACAGCTGCAGAAAAAGTTATATCTATACCGGAAAATCCACTCAAAAATCTACCACACGTGTATTAAAAATTATTATAAACAGTAATTATAGTTATAAATATTATTATTGTTATTTAATTATTATTATTTAATTATTATTATTATTATTTTGTACCTTGCGGGCAAGGCACATGCTTTGGTTTCTCTCTGTCTTGCCACTGATAAACGTATATGCTGTTGAATGCAGCGCTTTATGGTCGTAATATTATTATTATATTACTCTTTATTATTATTATTTTAATAATATTATTATTGATATTATCATAATAATAATTATTATTATTATTAGTGTTATTATTAATTTCGTTGTTATTATTATTACTTGCGAGAGTAATAAAAGTAACAGATGTTG